CACACACACACACACACACACACACACACAGACGTCATCCCATGACTTCTTCACAGCCGCACTGATCTGCTCCAAAGGTCAAACTGAGCTCTGGTTTCTTTCTCTCCAGATTTCCTGGTGGAAAGAGACAATGATTTCTGTGTTTGTGAGACACCGTGCAACATGACCAGATACAGCAAAGAGCTGTCCTTCGTCAAGATCCCCAGCAAGGCCTCCGCTAAATATCTTGCAAAGAAATACAACAAATCTGAGCAGTATATTAAGTAAGTAATGTAGATAAATACACATTGTAAACTCTACAAACCTAGTGCACACACACAGTATTGTCGGTTGTTGTCTGTTTTTACATTTATATGAATATCTGTAATATGTAATATCTCTTCATTGGAGAATTTATGGTTCTTGACAAATGTTGAGTCATTATTCATAAATTATTTGTTTACTACTTATTGACGCTAAACAGGAGAATGTGAAGTGAATGTAATATCATGTGTTGACTGGCTTATTTTGTCTCCACAGGGAGAACCTCCTGGTTTTAGACATATTTTTTGAGGCTCTCAACTATGAGACTATTGAACAAAAAAAGGCTTATGAAGTGGCTGGACTTTTAGGTAAAGGTTTTTGTTGACTCTGTTATATACTGTGGATGGGTTACCCTTCTGATTCATGCTGAATTATTCTAATTTATCATGTTACTACATTTGTTTTATTCCAGGTGATATCGGTGGTCAGATGGGACTTTTTATCGGGGCGAGCATCCTCACTATTCTCGAGCTGTTTGACTACTTTTATGAGGTGAGATTGAAGAATAATCCCGACGCCTGCATGCAATGTTTCTGGGACTTTTTATAATCTGATATAGACTACATGTCTGCCAACAAAAACTAACTACGGCTAATTTATAACTATCTAGTGGAGCTGGCTTTGAAACCATCATGTTGGGAAATACCTTTACAGAAAGTATTTATGTATTCGATTGGTTGATTTGACAGTTAAAATTATTAAAATTCATCTGGAAAAAACTAATTTGAAATTGATTTAGTAAAACTTGACTTTGATCAATATTGTGTTATCCTTGAGCTAAACCATAGATAGACTTTATATAGATAAGTAACTGATGCCTGCCTCTCTGTTTATTCAGGTAATCAAGTACAAGCTTTGTCGCTGCTCCGATAAGAAGCACAACAACGCTGACCAGGGAACAGTCCTGAGCTTGGATGATGTTAAGTGTCATGTCAGTAACTTTCACTAGGCCTCTGCAGCCAAGAGGAGGAGCCACTCCTTGTCTCTGAGCGGCTTCATGAACTTTGTTCACTGCAGTTTCCTGAAGCAGACTCCTGCAGCAACAGTGAGCGTGTCTGAACTGTCTCCGGTGAGGGTTTATGAGCAACGATAATGTGGCTAAAGTAAAGAGAAGGCCACGTAGACAGCAGGACAGCAGACACCAGTTATCAACATGTTGTGATGAGTTCAAAAACGTTATACGAATAACTGCATGGTCATCTGTAAACAGCTTTTCAAGACATAGCAGCAGATTCAGTAAATGGGGGCATGAACCAAACAAAGGTTCATATGTGTTCAGTTAAACAGCGTTAGATATCCCAGATGTGCCGTGGTGTTTTTATCAATTTGTAGGATTTTTTGTAAAATAATTGGTGAAAGATTTGTTTTCACTCACAAAAGGTCATTAGTTCTTTTTAAAAGCGTGGATGTCCTCACTGAATATTTATTTTCGCTTCTATATTTCAACATAACGCTGAAATATAGAATCCTTATCCTATGCCACTCTTTCCTTGTGCATTTTGTCAGTATACTCTACTACCTCATCTTGCAGGGTGACGCCACCATGAAGACATTGTGAGCCTAGTAAATGTATAACATGGGGAATTAGCATGAATAAAAAATTCAATAGGTCGGAGTACACAACACTTCAGCAGCAGTCATATTCATGTCATAGGGGAAGCTCAGGTATAAGTAATAAAATTAATGTTGGCTGTCATGATTTACTTTAACAGGAAGGAGCCAAGTTAATGTTGTTAGTTAAACCTGGGCTTTTCCTACTTTTATATCATAATGGTAAACACTTCTTTTTAGAGTAAATGCTGATATTTAGTGGAACAGAACCAAGTAAGGTCATTTCAGTAAACTGACTCGGTAACATCCATAAGCCAAGTAAATATGTAGAACCAACATCACTGAATGTATTGATTTGAACAGATTGACATTTTGGGAAATACACTTCAGAGACATCATTACCAGAGACATATTATGGGGAGACGTCGATACTGCAGATATATCATCCATTTTTATGCAAAGCCGATTGGCTACAGCTAGAAGAAGCTTAGCATTAAGATGGAAACACGGTGAGGCAGCTCATATTTAACTTGTACTAAAACATACAAACAATTTATTGTTTTTCATGATCTCTGCCTTCTGCTTTTACGTTGTAATTTAACATGTTTATTTGTACCATACAGGCGCCCCCCCCATTTCCATTTTTTTGTGCTAAGCTACACTGCTGCTGGCTGTAGCTTCATATTTAGACAGAAATACAAATACAGTAGGATAATTGGCCTAAAAGCTATTTAGCCATTACATTAGGATGGATCGACAGAAGTAAAATTCACAAACCAGATTAAGAACAAATATTTAGAACTATTCTCCATGTCAACCAGGCACTATACTGTAAGATTTAACTTCCCCTGTCAATGAATTAGTGTAGAGTATACTGTAGATCTCAGAAGAAATAAAAAATACAAGGAAGAGTAGGCTTCAAACCAGTCTTCAGTGCATTCATTTAAGGGATGTCATACATTGGTACTTGTACCCAGATGCTGTTCATCGCATTTAAGGAGAATTAACCTGCAAAGATAAAATCAATGAGAATAAACATGTTGAATGTGTTTTTCTAACTTGCATGTATCGCTGTACAGTAGGTGTCTTAAACGGGGTCCATCACAGATGATCTGCAGGTCTGACTGCATTTTGTCATCATCTGTTAGTGAGTTTGTTTTTATACTGCGAGCATGTATTTATTTGTGTGTGTGTGCGTGTGTGTTTCCAGTGTTACATTTTAAATGCCCTCATATCAAAAACCACTCAAAACAACAGTCTGCTACAAACCAATCATATTATTTTACAGCTCATTGATTTGCTAACCTTTAGAAGGAATGGGAATTGTATGGTGTGTAGCTGTATGGTGTTACCATCAAGCCCAGTCATACCATTTGCTGTAATCTAATGTATATATTGCAATGACTATGAATAATAACCTTGAGTGTATTTGCTCTTATCTGTATAATATTGTACTTGTACTTATTCATTATAAAGTAGCTGTTTTTATGTACATGTTGTAGATGGTTTATTTCTCAAGAGTGTATTTATCAAACACTATATTTAAGTATACAGCTATTTATTCTTGTTTGTTTTGCTACAATCAGTTCATCTTATTGTATTCTACTCATCAGTAAATGAAAGTGACAACAGAATTGTTATTTCATGCATCTCGAAAGTCCTGTCGACCATGCTTCCAGGTTTTTTAATATTTATGCCTCCATTTTCAATATATACATATATATATATGAAATATATGAAAGGATAATTATTTTAGTTTGTTGATGTGTAGATAAATTATGAAGCAGTTGTAATATGACAGATTAAATGCTAACTCTACGTAGCTTTTGTTCACTTGACGTTGTTCTGTCATCATTTAAACTCATGTTGTGAATTAGAGATGTAACTCACAATCAACGGCTTTATTCTTGTTGGACAGTTTCTACAATCGGCCATTGTTTTCAAATCAGATCAATCCAAGGGAGGAGACATTGATTTCTTTTACACTGTATAACATCATTATATACATTTCCACATATTTACTGTTATTGTTTAGCTATGCTGGCAGGATGGCTATAATGATTAACAAGTATTAAAGTGATTGCCATTAAACTTTATAAAGACAATAATGTTCTCCTCGGGGTGAACTTTTAAATTTTTCATCATCATCAGCTCAAATCTTAAGTTTGTTCAACAGATATTTGCAAATATTGAGTCATTAATCAAACTAATGGGATTCTAATTTAATAATAATATGGTAGTGCATGTTGAGGGGTATTGAGAAGACTCTGATCACTGAACTCAGAAAGGTTCCATGTGAAAAACAGAACTATAATCTTCCACACAAGGGATAATCCTGTGAGGAACCACGTGCAGCTCATTAAGATACATCTCATGATATGATGACTATATATTTGTGGTGAACACTTCCCTGCACAATAAGCTGGATTTTCTCAGCGTGTGCCTGCTCACACAAACCAGACTGCTGAATGTGAAAGTTCACTTCCTTCCTTTGTCCCCTCGTCTGTTTGCTGTCCAACTCTTGCGCAATAATGCTCTTTTATTTGAGCTCGTCAGACCGAATAATTTCTCCTCTTGTGACTTTTAATGAGTTGGCTGTATTTTACACAGGGAAAAGAAAATCTAACGGAAGGAAGAATAACTAATAGATAAATAAATCAAAACTTACATTTGTGGATGTGGAACTTTGCAAGAAATAATCAATGAAAAACAAATCATGTTATTTTGACTGTAATTATGATTTTAAAAAACCAGAAGCTGAGTCAGAGAAAATGTTTAAAATCATCTTTTCTGTAGTTTGTGGTAAACTGAACACAGTTTACATGGAATCTTATTTAATCTATGAATCAGCTTATATGACTTATTTGTGACGAGGAACCTTTGATTAATGACAAAACAATTTTACAATCAAAGCTGCTCCATTAAAATGTTGCTGGAGGATCAGAGAACAAACTGAGGAGTGGGTCTCGGGGTTCACACCTTGTCCTACACGGTCCCTGGTTCACTTTTTGTCCCTGGTTCACTTTTGTCCCCCTTTCCTCGCAGTCCTCTGGACCACAGCTCCGTGGGGGTTGGCCGGGGATGTGTGCACAGTGGGCGGGTCAGTGTCTCCCCTCTGACCGGCCAATGAGAGTGTGTGCTGCTTGCATAACCACACTGCAGCACAAACACACACAGACACACACACACACACACACACTGTCTCTCCCGCAGCAGCTTCTCCTCACGATGGCAGCTCCCAGCAAAGTGTGCATCATCGGCTCTGGAAACTGGTAAACTACCGTGTGGATGTGTGTGAGCGGGAGGGAGGTGTTGAAACTTTGGAGCAGGTTTCCTCCTCTATGTGTGTGTGTGTGTGTGTGAACCGTAGCTAGCCAATTTAGCATCAATGGGAAAACAAGTCAAGCTAATGTTAACTAGCCGCATTTCCCCATGGTAACAACGGTGGCTGAGCTAGCATGCTAATATTTATCGTTGCATTAGCCGGGTAGCTTTTTGTTGTTGTTAGTTTTAGCATCGGTTTCAGTGCAAAGGTAACGAATTAGCTGAGTGCGCAGAAAACTGGCCACAGGTCAGATTAGCGGATGATTTACGGTCATGGAGCCGCGACGTGTCAACTGTCATTCATTTACAAGTGTAGAGAAGAAGTGTGATCGTGTTATTCTACAACCATCGATATATCGATCACATACAAAGACCATGGCTTTAAACTCAGGTCAATTAAACCAAACTCCTTTAAAGTGAACCTGTTCCCCTAATGATCCCTCAGTGGAAGAGCAACAAGGTAACTTCATGATTCATTCAAGTTTTACTAGAGGACCTTTAAAGATTTAATCATCAAGGTAAAATGGCGTATTTCCATCGAGGGACCATGAAGTCCACAGGTTCACTTTTACCAGCTGGAGTTTTTTTTTAAACCTGAATTACAATAACTATTAAGAAACCAACATTTTAAATTCATGTCCTCTAGTAAAATATGTATTAAATAAGCTCCAGCAGTTTAAAGTCAACCTGTCAACTCTATGATCATTGAGTGGAAAAACAACATTTTAACTTCATGATTGAATCTTTAAAATGTCCTTTTATAATTCAGGTATTAAATAAACTCCAGCAGTTTAAAGTGAACCTGTCGACTTCATGATCCCTCGGTGGAAATACAACATTTTCACTTGATGATTGAATCTTTTATAGGCAGCTTGTCGGGTAGGGTATTCCAGACGTCCCTCTCCCTAGCCACGCTTTCCAGCTCTTTGCCAGCTCAAATGGGATATTGTCCGAGTTCCTGGGTCTACCCCGGGGTCTCCTCCCGGTTGGGCGTACCGGTATACCTCCAACAGAAGGCACCCTAGGGGCAGCGGTTCTACTCCGAGCTCCCTCATTACGTCTGACCTCCTCACTCTATCCCTGCATGCCGCCCAACAGGGGAAACTAATTTCAGCTGCTCTTATTCACAATCTCACTCTTTCAGTGGCCATAGGTGAGTGTTGAAATGTAGATCTAGCGGGGAAATGAAAGCTTTGCCTTGTGGCTCAGCTCTTTGGCTGGTACAGTCCTGTACTTTGCAACACAACCCTGGCAGAGTCCCACGCCCTCCGGGAACGGGTTCAACTTTGTGCTGAGGATTCAGACACAACTCTCACTTTCGATACGCTGATTTAGACAATGATCTTAATTTCAGGAGAGACCTTTGGACAAGAGTAAACATTTATAAATCAAATATGATCAGTTAGAAAATTCACTCATCAGCTGAGCTAATTGTGTGCTGCCTGCAGAGAGGGTGAACATAGTTCATCTTAATAGAGCAGCATAAAACATATGAAGAGGCAGGAATAGTAATGACCTGGTAATCAAAGCGTTTATCAAGTAATAACTCAGAGGAGATCAAGGTCCTGTTCATTATGTCTTGGGTAATCATAAGGCCCGACAATGATGTAATGTCAAGTGTGTAACTGATCCACTCGTGGCCTCAACAACCAAAACACTGGACTCTTTTTTAGAAGCCAGGCTTATGATTTGTGGATCTCTTCTCTGACAGTTTTCTCGCCATGTTGCTTCCTATTTTCACGAACTGTGAATTCAAACGGAACACTAACCTTTCAACTGTTCATACAGGGGTTCTGCCATTGCCAAGATAGTGGGTGCCAATGCTGCGCAGAATTCAAAATTCGACAACACCGTCAAAATGTGGGTGTTTGAGGAGATGGTGAACGGACGCAAACTGACAGAAGTAATCAACACTGACCATGAAAATGTGAAGTACCTGCCAGGTCACACGCTTCCAGCAAATGTGGTAAGAAACAGTTTTTCACCATGAATGTGCAGGGATGTGCTCTAGTTAAAAAAAATTTGTACTCGTTATCATTTCTACTTGTATTTGTCCACATCACTCTTAATAATTTTCCTCCATTGCAGCCTCCATGTTATATTTTTCAAAAGTGAATTAAACCACTGCGATGTCAGTTCTCAGCATGTTGTTACACCAGCTCTGACATGAGACATCAATGTTGTTCAAATCTCTTCCACCATCATTCCCTCACCCCAACCCCACCTCACCCCTCCTAACCCCTCGTCAGCTGGCTGTCCCAGACCTGGTGGAGGCGTCCAGTGATGCGGACATCCTGGTGTTTGTGATCCCGCACCAGTTTGTTGGGAAAGTGTGCGACACCATTAAAGGGAAGATCAAGAGCGAGGCACTGGGGATTTCTCTCATCAAGGTTCGACCGTGCATTGGTTTTCTGTTTTTAACAACAAGAAGTCGCAGTTTGTTTCCAAAACTCAGAGACAAACTTCATGTTGTGCCAGACTCACACAGTCAATGGGCAGTTGTGCAGTTTGGTCTTTGACCCAAATACCAGCTCGGTGTGGTGCAATGCAAATACACTACTTGTGTTCTTGTTCCACCAGGGCGTCGATGAAGGACCCGATGGACTTAAACTCATCTCTGACGTGATCCAGGAGAAGCTGGGCATCACCATGAGTGTGCTGATGGGGGCCAACATAGCCAATGAGGTTGCGGATGAGAAGTTTTGTGAGACCACCATTGGTTAGTCTTTGTCTTATTCTTTATTACTTTTGAACAAAAGCAATGATTTAATTAGTACAAGGTTGAACTTTGATCAAGATTTTAAAGTAACATTGAAAGTTTTAGCCTTGAAACAGGAAGTAGCTTTGTGTTGTCATGGTCGGTGGGGATGAACTGTTAATCTGCTTTGGAGCTGATGTGTAAATGACAGAGTGGGCTGGTTCACTTTTGACATATGCTTTCTTCCCTTCTTTGCACGCACCACGTAACCACATGCTTTCTGGGATTTACTGTTGTATAAAAACGAGAGAACACTAACCTGCTGTGACAGGATTTGTATTTGTTGGATCACAGCTGACAAATGTAATTTTCTCAGAAGCTTTGCAGTGTTGTAGCTGTCATTGTTTCAACCATGAAAAATATCTACTTGTTTATGAATGAAAGTTACTGGCAAAATAAGATGTCTTGTAGAGATGCTGAAAGATAATCAGATTCTTTGCTCTGCTTCCAGGATGTAAGAATAAAAACCACGGTGCTCTCCTGAAGGAACTCATGCAGACCAACAACTTCAGAGTTACTGTAGTGGAGGAGTATGACGTGGTGGAAATCTGTGGAGCCCTGAAGGTGGGTGTTCACTTTGAAACACAGCTGCATGTAGAAAGACAGGGTCCCAGCCTGGCTGGAAATATAATATGTGTGAGTAAAAACACATTTACAATAGGAAAACTAAAATCAATTAAACTGAAAGTCCCTGTGGCAGGAAAATGAGCAAAAATAGCAGTTTGCTAACATGTAATGTGAAACACTTTGTTCAACAACTCTGCAAATATAAAAAAATTGAAATGACGTATAAACAAATACATCGTCAGGGTTTTTGTGTTTATATGCTAACATGTTCAGACATTCTGCCTCCAACTTCTCCAATATTTGTATTTGCTCCTTTTCTGTAATAACTATGTGAATTGACAAAGGGTTGAGGTCAGTGCTGGCCATGTCTTTATGTCTATGTACGAGTGCAAGTAACAATTATTTTCATGATCACTTATTGTACAAAACTGTGAAACATCAGAAACTGAGGAAAAATACATCAAATATTTGTCAATACTTTCTTTCAATCGCTCAATTCACACATGTTCATCCATAGGCTCGAAATTACTAGAACGTCGTTACCATCCCACAGGTAGTAAATCCATCTCTTGTGTCTGGAGTCATGTATTTCCTGCCCGTTCGCCCTTCAGAACATCGTTGCGGTCGGGGCAGGTTTCTGTGATGGTCTGGGCTTCGGGGACAACACGAAGGCAGCGGTGATCAGACTGGGCCTGATGGAGATGATTGCCTTTGCGCGCATTTTCTGCACCGCTGGGCGCGTGTCCTCTGCAACATTCCTGGAGAGCTGCGGTGTGGCCGACCTCATCACTACCTGCTACGGCGGCCGCAACCGCAAAGTAGCCGAGGCGTTTGTGAAGACCAAGAAGGTGAGAATAAGGATTTTGTTTCCCCTAAAAACAACAAATACTTTTACAACTCTAAGCAAAGGAGTTTTTTGTGTATTTTGATTTTAATAACTTCTAATATTTAGTCGTTGGCAAGTACAAAAAGGTTTATACTCTTCACACATGTCCTGTGTAAGTGGTGGAAGCTTTTAAACTATGTGGACAATCTCTCATTTTCCAGATAATGCTCCCTCTCAGTAAAGCGCAGCTGCTCCCTTTACTGTGGACTTTTAACTTCACAGACCTTTCACATATAAACAAAAGCTAGATTACACCAGAGGAAAGATAAATTGACAAAAATGTTTGCTTTAATGGGAGTTCAGACTTCGATATGTCATGTTCCTTCTTTTATTTCTTCTCTTGCTCAGTCCATTGAGGAGCTGGAGAAAGAGATGCTGAACGGCCAGAAGCTGCAGGGCCCAGCCACAGCAGCTGAGGTCCATCTCATCCTCAAGAACAAAAACCTCATTGACAAGTAAGTTGAGCAACAAGGCAACATGCAAAAACCCTGCACTAAAAGAAAAGACATCAATCCAGTTTCAACCCTTAACTCCTCCTCCTCCTCCTCCAGGTTCCCGTTGTTCAATGCAGTGTATCAGATCTGCTACCAGGACCAAGCAGTCACAGAGTTCATACGCTGTTTGCAGAACCACCCGGAGCACATGTAACAGAAAAACCAAACTGACCAAGTGCCTTCTGAACGGAGAACATCACCACTCTTCATCTGTTACTCGTCTGGAACAGACGGGGGATGATTCGTAACTCCACAGCTGTCGTTTAACTCAACTGTCTCCAGCGCAGTCTGAGTCATTAAGTAACATCTGTGTGTTCAGCTCAAATTTGACCACTTTGTTCTTAACATTCAGTTTTTGACGTCTTTAAGTGCTTTCTCTCATCTCCTAAGTCGTACTGAAACTTGAAAGATAATTGTTGGGACCATATATGATGGTCCGATGACTTTTTGTTTTTGCCTGCTAAATTCTTTTGGTGCCAGATGAAATCAAAATGCATAAAACAGAAATCCAGACCCAGCTGGGAGTCAGAATGAATTCAATAGACCGCATTATGGTTAGCGCATGCCTTTGTAATCACACAATGTTGATGTGGCATTACGCATTCTGATTTTCACAGGCCCACTCCTCAGGGCATGGTACCTCATCTCAAATTTATGCTGCCGTCCAGTGAGTGCCATGTCCGTCTTCTCTACAAGTTATTGAATCATAGATGTAATACCTCACTTTGTGTCTTACATAATTCACTGATATTTCCTGTCTTGTACTGTATTATTAACAAACTGTCGATCGCACAGCAACTGTTTTAATATGAACATGTAAGTAAGTGCCTTCAGATGCACGGTTGCTACATCTTGGCTGTTGTCTCATCAAACTTACAGCATCTACTTAAAGTTTCAGTGTGTAAGATTTAGGAGAAAATAATCTAATGGCACAAATTGAATATAAAATAACCCTGGTGATGTTTTCACTATTGTGTGTCATCAAAATGTTATCAATTGTTTCTATACCTTAGAAGGGGCCCTTTGTATTTAAATACCTCTCTACGGAGGCCGCCATGTTTTTAACATTAGTCCAGACTGGACAAACTAAACAACTTTTGAGTTTTTATGAAAACTTAAGGCTTCTACAGGTTCCCTGTCATGTTTGGAAGGGGAGGGTGAGGTGAGAGTTGTTCAGCTGCAACATGCAATTTCACCACTAGATGTCACTAAATTCTACACACTGTACCTTTAACGTCCGTTCATTTCACCTTGTTTTACTGTGAACCTGCCTGACCCATTTTTCAGTTATGGCTAATGTGTGTTTGAAATATGTCAACATTTGTCTGTGAATAAATTAAATCGGTCATCTCATCACTGCTGGAGTACTTTAGATTCTTAGAAAGTTGTATCTCTTATTTTAACCACCACACAGCAGTATCACTCATAAGGTTTCAGAATATATAAATAATATAAACCAAATGCAATTGTATTGTGTGACTTCTCTAAAGAATGTTTATCATTGATATTAAATCATTTTTAATAACTATTTATTGCTCTGATGTGAGCCACGCCTCTCCTCATTCATAAAAAATGGCTTAAATAAATATGGAGAATTATTCATTTAATTTAGCCTACAGATATGAGGCAGGGGAGATTAGCACTAAACATCATTATTATTTCAGTTTTTATCCAGATTAACAAAATATAGCTTCATTATTGCGGTTTAGAGGTGCCATAATCAAAACTGCATATCTTGAAATGCTGATTCATTTAAAACATCTTCTCCAAACATCTACTCATTAACAAGTCACTTATTAGCTTATATGGAACCGTAAGAAATGACAACACATGAAACACATTAACAGAAGCAAAACTGTTTTATTGCAAGTTGTGGAAATGTAGCTAGCTTTACATGAGCGTGCTGTGAACAGCAATACGTCATTTGACATTCACTGTTGACCTGTGTCAGACTCCACTGCTGTCGGGATATTTTAAAATAAAAATCAGCAACTTAAATAAACCTGAAAATTGTCAAGAAGTTAATAAATCTACTAAACAAGACAAAGCTTACCGTCCTCGTCCAGAGGGACACTTTGATTTAAGACTATATCAGTATGAATGTATAGAAGTGATGTTGCTTGCCCCTTTACAAACCATAGTCTATTTATCTGTAACATGTTGTCCTGGGTTCAAGGCAGAGGAGGCTACATGAGCACACAAGTTGTAAGAATAGCTTCCACTAAGTGTGATTAATAAATGCAGTCAAAGAATAAAGGTACTACAATCAAATGGTTTGAAGAGTGACAGCTGTTGTTCCTCGTCTCTGCTCAGTCCAGTTTTTGGTGCAGTCAAGTATTTACTCTGGGTGAGCGTGACTCAGATGAGTGTTTTGTTGTTGCTGTGCTCTGTTCTCGTTATTCCATTTACCATCCTGACAAATTAAGACCTAATTAAAAGGAGACGGGGACATGGAGCCAGTTCAGCCATTTATTTTAATCACACAAATATATCCTGGTTTAGATTTTGTTTTTGTTCCCTCTCCAAATGACTTTGGTCCCACATCTAAATTCAAATAAAGACAGCTGCATTCTTAATTCAGGATTCTCTTTTGAATGTCTGCTGAACTGGCTTCAATTGCTACACCTGAGAAATATTTTTTTAAATATCGTCTTTCTTGTTCTTTGCTACTGTGATGGATCCACACGGTGGAAATGCTTCCTCCCTCAGAGACACTCCAGTTCTGTAACATGAGACCACTCACCTGCCCTCCCACTATCCTACCTCTAACTCTACTCCGCCCTCACATCATTGCAATTCACAGTCTGTGAGGGTTGACCCATTTGTAAGTGCCTTTGTAGCTAAATCCAACTCTCTTTGAGAGGTTGTCCGCTTCTGCTGGGCCACGGCTGAAAGAAAAGAGAAACAATCACATGCATCCCTCTGTACTGTGAATTCCTCTTCCAGTTAAAAAGGCAGAGTGAAGGACAACTCCTACCTCCCATATTTGTATGGAATAGGTTTTGGCTTCTCTTTGTCTATGTGATGAAGGAGAGGCGTGAAGATCCTCCATGCTTGTCGTAGTTCATCACTGCAGAGACAAACAATTCAGCGTTTATTGGAAGTCATAAGAAACACAGCTGTCATATCATAAAATCGTAGTATAGTATCAAAACATTTTTACAACTCGTGGATTCCTCCATGCCAAGGCTGAGAATGGAAATGATACTACGCTGCCATCTAGTGTTAAAAACCCACAACTCACATGAAGCACTCATAAAAGACTTGTTTCGTTTCCATGTTGTAAGATGAGACAGATGCAAAAATAAAAAGACAGACCTGCGCACAAAGTGCATCTGACTCCCACAGAAGACGTCCAGGATGAGACGTTCATAAGCGTCTGGAAGTTTCACATCCTACATAAAGAAGGCACAAGTTTTAATTCAATATTTTCAAATAGAAAAACATTGTAGAGCAAAAGAACATGCAAACAGGCAAATATTTCATGAGACCAAATCCATTACATTGATTTGATGTTTTTTTTAACCTCGACCAAGGAGGTTATGTTTTCGTCAGCGTTTGTCTGTCTGTTAGTTGGAACTACTGGATTGATTACCATGAATCTTTGTGGAAGGATTTGATATGGGACAGAGAAGAACCATTAACATTTGGTGCAGATCTTTTAAATCCCTTTCTTTGACATTTGTCTTTGACATTTGTGAGATTTGATTTGTGATTTTGACATTGTCACTGATTTCCCAGGGAATAATTCATGGATCTTGAGGAGCATTTTCAGGAGACTTTCTGTTTAGTGCAACTTGAGTGAATGCAAGGGGACTGTTGGTCTTTGACGGAGGCATTATAGACAGCAAAAGAATAATCAAGTAAATAACTGGAAGATTTGAAATAAAATAATAGTTAGTTGATGCTTTTTCATTCTTGTACATACAGTAGTACATAAAGAAATCTGCCTGAACCTGCCTTGTATCTACTCTTGTATGTGAGGTCCAGCTCAGTTTCCTCTGGGCTGAAGTAAACGCCGGGTTTCTTGCTCATCATCTTGGCGTAGACGGCTTCGTTGGGCTGCACACGCACCACCAGCTCATTCCTGTGACACTGATTCCCAAAAATGTCCCCTGGGACATCTGTGAACTGCAGCCGCACCTCAGCTTTCCTCTCGTTCAGAGCTTTTCCACAGCGAAGGATGAATGGAACGCCTGAGGAGGATAAAGTCCAGGCCAATGCGTTATGAAAGATTATGAAAGAACACAGCAAAATGTGGCATGACAAGTATTTGCTTTTGTCAAGGGCAAAGTATGTTTACCGTCCCAGCGTTCATTGTGCACATAGAGCACAACGGTGGCGAAGGTGGCCTGAGTGGATCCCTTAGGGACTGTGGGATCATCGAGGTAACCCAGTTTGGCATCTCCCTCGCCTTCTGGATCCCCAACGTACTGACCCAGCACCACGTCCGACATGGACACTGGAGCGATGCACTTCAGCACCTTCACCTACAAGAGAGAAGAAATACATGGAGGGAGGTGGGATGAGCTGTTACAACTGCTAGCCTGACTAGTTTAGTGGAATACACTTCATCCAGCAGAATTTAAGAGATATATTTTCATGATCTAGTAAACAGAACTCCTGACTGATGTTAAGCCACCGTCAACAAAGCTACAACAAAAAGTGTGTTTCATTTATTGTACCTTTTCATCCCTGACATCATCAGAGCTGGTGGAAGCTGGTTTCTCCATGGCAACCAGACAGAGCATCTGGAGCAAGTGGTTCTGCATGACATCTCTGATCGTGACAAGAGGAACACGTGGTCACACAAAAGGAATCGTGGATCATGTGATGATGAGGATTTTCTGCATGCAGTGTTTAAGCTGTTACTATTCTCATTTTTATACAACTCCACTCTAAACCTAGATTAAACTATATCATTACACTGCAAAGACAAATCCAAGCAATTTTATTCCCCTCACCGGATGATGCCAAAATCATCAAAGTAGCCTCCTCGTCCCTGGGTGCCAAATGGTTCTTTAAATGTGAGGACGACACAGGCCACGCTGTCCCTGTTCCAGATCGGCCCAAAGATTCGGTTCCCAAACCTGCAACAAACATCACATTATGTTTCTGTGCTCAGCGGCCGACACAGCACGAGAGGCAGCTGTTCATGACAACATCCATAAACATTTATTCTCTGCTTTGTTCCTCATTGGGGCCCAGTTTCTATTTTTTTTGTGTAATATTCACAGGTGTTCTCGAAAAAAAACAAACCAACTGAAACTCAAGCATTGACGTAGATGCACTCTGTGAATGGTGAAAAACCGTAGAGTGCTTAGAGTGGTAATCAAGACATAAATACAGACCATTTATCATTTAAATTAAATTCTTTACAATAATTGCTTCCGTAGAAATAAAACAAAGTTGCAAAAACTATATCTGCTCACAACCCTGGACTTCCTAAATAATAAAAGGTGGATTTGACTCGGTGTATTGAACCATTTTAATGCAAAGTATTGTGCTTCTTATCGCTTTCCATTGTGTCAAAATAATATTGTATCTTATCTTATTTTATTTGATCTTCTACAAGCTACTGATCTTTAATTTACTGTTTTATTGACCCTATTTTGAAATAATTATTTGATAAGAATGATAATCATATCAGTTATAAATCCAGGTCAGCCTCTCTGGGACTTTGTTCCTCCATAAAAGTTCACAAGCAAACTTCATTCCAGTTTACATCATCTGATAATCATAATATTCACAAAACTAAAATAAAACTAAATGAATAAAAACAACTTTATCAGAGGATGATTTTCTTACCTGAGCACCATGAGGTTCTGCACCATCTCTTTGCCCAAGTAGTGATCGATGCGGTAGATCTGTTCCTCTGTGAAGAGGGAGGAGAGGTGCGTGGACAGCTCCTCTGAGCTCTGAAGGTCATGTCCAAATGGTTTCTCCACAATCACCCTGGTCCAGCCTCTACACAAACACACACGCACAACCACACTCATCACATCAATTGCACCACTGTAGGTCCAGGCCTTTCAGTACTCCGATTGGTCCGAGAATCACAGAAGAATACTGACAACTGTGAGGATCCTTTGTCTTCTCCATTGGGTCGACTTGTGGCGGAAACAGATGAGTTTTTTTCTCTTATGCATCATAGTCACTCAGTTTAATAGGGAAGGGGGGGAGAAATACTGCGATGTAACATAAATGCTAAACTTAATCTTAAGTATGTGGTTCTGTAGCATTGTACAGAGGCAATTCTGCTTCTCAACAAGTCCACATTAAATATAAATGGATTGGGGGAAAAAATAACGTCACTTGGATATCTGGTTGCACCTATGGAAGCATCAAGAACTTCC